GTGTTACGGCCGTTCCTTGCTTGGTTTAAATCGTTATTGATTAGCATTCTGTCCTCTCTCTTCAGCCCGGTAAATGGAGTTTAAGTGCATTAGCAGCAGACTTAGAGAGCTGACAAATGCCACATCATTTTGAGGAGCACGGAGCGCATGAGCAAGCAATCTGAAGGGCGCTGGCAAGTTTTATATCCAGATGCATTTCACTTTCAAGAGAAATGCAAAACAGTGTTAAGGGAGGCCTCAAATCCTGCTTCCTGGGAGCTCTCAAACTCTTTCCATTTTCAGAAATAGAAAGCATCAGTTGCAGTATATAAACTGTCACACAGTGGTAGGTCAAAGGATATTCTAGCCAAACAATTTGTGCTCAAGATACCTCAATTTGGCAAAGGAGGGTGTTCTTTAGTAGGCAATCTACCATCACCTACCACCAAGTGTGTTAGCTGCCCTTTACAGTACTACCACTTTTGGTGTTAGAAATCATAGAATCATAGAATTGGAAGAGACATCATGGGCCATCCAGTCCAACCCCTGCCAAGAAGCAGGAAAATCACATTCAAAGCACCCCTGACAGATGGCCATCCAGCCTCTGTTTAAAAGCTTCCAAAGAAGGAGCCTCTATCACACTCTGGGGCAGAGAGTTCCACTGCTATGAAATGTGGGAGTCTCTCATTATTATGTGTATCAATTGTTCTTCCCACTCTTTCAGGTGGAGTTCAGGGCTTGTAGATGGGGTAAGGACTGTCATGCAACCTTCACAAGTGACATCACTTCTTCAGCTTGAAGGCACCTAGCTCTTCTGTTCATAGAATCATAGAGTTGGAAGAGACCTCATGGGCCATCCAGTCCAACCCCCTGCTGAGAAGCAAGAATATTGCATTCAAAACACCCCTGACAGATGGCCATCCAGCCTCTGTTTAAAAGCTTCCAAAGAAGGAGCCTCTACCACACTCCAGGGCAGAGAGTTCCACTGCTGAACGGCTCTCACAGTCAGGAAGTTCTTCCTCATGTTCAGATGGAATCTCCTTTCTTGTAGTTTGAAGCCATTGTTCCGCGTCCTAGTCTCCAGGGAAGCAGAAAACAAGCTTGCTCCCTCCTCCCTGTGGCTTCCTCTCACATATTTATACATGGCTATCATGTCTCTCCTCAGCCTTCTCTTCTTCAGGCTAAACATGCCCAGCTCTTCAAGCCGCTCGTCATAGGGCTTGTTCTCCAGACCCTTGATCACTTTAATCGCCCTCCTCTGGACACATTCCAGCTTGTCAGCATCTCCCTTCAATTGTGGTGCCCAGAATTGGACACAATATTCCAGGTGTAGTCTAACCAAGGCAGTCTCCACGAGGACTCCTAAGATCTTTTTCACACGTATTGCTCTCGAAGGATTTATCTGGCCAAAAAAGAGTTTTATTTGCTAGTGATGTTCACATCCTTAAGATGAAGCCTTCTGTTTTAAAACACAAATACTTGAGATGAGGAGACATCACATGCTGCTAGACCAGTGGTGGTTCTCAACCAGTGGTTCTCAACCAGTGGTGTTTTGGTCTACAAATCCCAGCCAGTTTACCAGCTGTTAGGATTTCTGGCAGTTGAAGGCCAAAACATCTGGGGACCCACAGGTTGAGAGCCACTGGGCTAGACAAAGCATCCTGACCTAGTCACACATAGACGATTGGTTTTCTACCACTGATCCTCCTAGTGTTTTGGACCTCAACTCCTAGAATTCCTGAGCATTGCTATGATGCCTGTGACATCTGAGAGTTGAAGTCTACATATGGAGCATCGAAGAAGAAAAATAGCCCTGTTACCAACAACAAAGGTTAATAGCAAGGGCAAGAAACTCTGTGGTCCTCCTAAGTAAAGGAACTTCCACTTTCAACATTCCTCACCACTGTCTAGGCAAGATAGAGTTGACAGGATCTAAAGCAGGGGTATCAAACTCAATTTCATCAAGGATCACATTATGGTTATCTCCAATGAGCCACTGAATCCATGGGCAGAGAAGCCATGGATACAGAAGGCAACTATAGTTATTTTTACATAGTGGTCAGTGCTCTTTAGTTTTTGCCCAGTTTGGCTACCCAGATGTTACTGAACCACAACTTCCATCACTTGATTATCTACCATGTGGACTAAATAATGGGAATTGCAACCGAACAGCACTTGTGGCTCTGAGGTTCGGGAAAGGTTAAATAACATTTTAAAATCACAACTCGCATCAGCTCTAGTCAGTGCTAGTCATGAGGATTATAGGAGTCGCAGTCCAGCATCTGAAGGGCCACATAAAATGACATGGTGGGCTGAACGTGACTCACAGGCCTAATGCCGCAACCCTTTAATGCAATTTTTCATGTTGTGGTGACCCCCAACCATAGCATTCTTTTCATTGCTACTTCATAACTGTAATTTTGCTAAAGTTGTGAATGGCAATGTAAATATCTGATATGCAGGATGTGGTCACTGGACCTAATTTGGGACAAATCCCAGTACGCCCGAATTTGAATACTGGTGGGGTTGGGGGGATTGATTTTGTCATTTGGGAGTTGTAGTTGCTGGGATTTATAGTTAACCTGAACTCCACCAATGATGGAATTGAGCCAAACTTGGCACACAGAACTCCCATGACAAACAGAAAATATTGGGGGGGGGGGGGGGGGGGGGGGGTCTGGTGGGCATTGACCTTAAGTTTGGAAGTTGTTCACCTATATACAGAGAGCACCGTGGACTCAAACAATGATGGAGATGGATCAAACGTGGAACAAATACTCAATATGCCCAAATGTGAACACTAGTGGAATTTGGGGAAAACAGACCTTGACATTTGGAAGTTATAGTTGCTGGGATTTATAGTTCACCTACAATCAAAGAGAATTCTGAACCCTACCAATGAGAAACTTGGGCCAAACTTCCCACACAGAAAATGCTGTGCTTTCCGATAGCCTTTGGCAACCCCTCTGACACCCCCACGCAACCCCCCCCTCAGGTGTCCCGACCCCCAGGTTGAAACACTGATCCAGTCAAACATTATTTGAAAGTCAACAAATTCTCCAGCTTTGCTTCACACGTTTTCAAATCTACACTAGATATTTATTGGATTTATAATGTAAAAAAAGAAGAAAACCATTTTGCAGCACTTCATAGTAAGACCCACAGGTAAACTATGACTTTGATGATGTGCTTTTCAACCCTGACATGAAAAAATCCTTCTAAATATGCAGTAAAATGTACAGGGAACTTGCTCGGTTGGTTTTAGATAGTACAAAACAAGGATCCCATCTGTAATGAAATCTTTGAAAAACTAGCACCATTTCCTATGCATATTAAAATATGTGTAGTTGAACAGTGTCTCTAATAAGGCTGACTGTGTCATTAAAGGAGCCATTAACAAACTGATTAAATTATTTCCAGCTACTCTATTGGTATTTGAAGTCTGCACTGTTAACACTGATAGAAGCGCTGTAAGGTCATCATTTTTGGTATTGTACAAGTTAAGCTGCCCTTGAAATGAAGGGAAAATAATTAAGAGAGGGAAAAAATCTGTATTAAACAAAGAACCCTATCCAGACAAAATGAAAACTGTTAAAGCCCATTCAAATCAATAAGCATAGATTTAAACACACATTTCGTTTTGCCCTTTGAACTGACAGGACACAGATGCTTAGCTTTGGTAAGACCACATCTGCAGCTTTAATGCAGATTAAGAATGAAAAGTGATGCAGAACCAAAATAGTTATATTATCCCAATCTGATTGATCATGAACAACAGCAATCTATTATATTAAGATTGAATTGATATTCCGTAAAAAAAATTGGAGAAAAACAGATGCAGATTACTCACATCTATATAATGCACCAGTTTGAAAGAGATACAAAATACTGTCTAGTTGCTTTGAGTTTTCCAGGATGCATGGCCATGTTCCACCCTATGTTTCACCCTATGTAGACTTGTCCACAGCTGCACAGTAGACTCCTGTAGAGGTGAGAGGATCCCTCTTGTCCTTTGCTGAACTAGCATTTGCAGGACTTTCTTAGTGGATAGTGAGTCTGTAGATGGTTTGTGGGTTGTGTTTCTTCATCAGCTTCCCTATGCGGTCAGTGGTTCCCTTGATGTATGGTAAGAGCACTTTTCATCTGGGTGGGTCTTTGCCTTTACTCTCATGGCTTGTTCTTGGTCTTGTGGCTCTGTGGTGGACCACCAAATGCAGCACCCAAACTCTTGTTTACTCTCATGGCTTGTTCTTGGTTCTTGGTCTTGTGGCTCTGTGGTGGACCACCAAATGCAGCACCCAAACACGAATGCCTGGATTCCCCCAGGCAGCAGGCAGCCAGGCTTTGAAGCTGCAAGGCCTCTAAATGCTAATTAAGGTGACCATTTGCAACATTCACTCTTGCCTCAAGCGGACAAGAGTTCTTTCTCCCAACCTAGACATTCCAGATATGTAAACCTCATTTGTCTAGTTTCCAACACACCCCTCAATCTCTTATGATGTCTGCCATAGATGTGGGTGAAATGTAAGGAGAGAATGCTTCTGGAACATGGCCATATAGCCCGGAAAACTCACAGCAACCCAGTGATTCTGGCCATGAAAGTATATTAATTTATTCCCCATACATTAAAATACTGTCTTTCTGGTTAATATATTTCAGTCACCTGAAATACTATTTACATTACACTATGTATGTTCACTATTTGCGCACTTCTTGGAAATCATAGCGAAAAATTAAATTAGGGAAATGATTGTGTTCTTCAGCTTTTTTTGAACTTTGTGTGGCCCCCAAAACACAAGAATAATATAACTAACATCAATAATCATGCCTGAAAAATATTTTTTTTTACTTTAAAAAGATAGTTTATGTAATTGTAAATATTCTACAAACACTGATAGGTTGGAACGATGTCTTTACTGCCATTATGGTATCTATTCAGTCCAATGTGCATGAGTTAGCCTCCAAACCAGAATAAGAAGATATGGCACAAAGGGTTTGTTAAAAATATTAGAGTAACTTACCAGAGACATTAATTGACGTTCCGGCATCTATAATCCCACTGTTGGGCCTTACACAGTACCTGCGTGGCGCTGTGGTCTTCACTTTGAAACAGACATTTCTGTCTGTAGGGTTGCCAAGTTTCAGGTTTGTAGTGACAACATCTGTAAAGGGACCTGTGGAACAAAAAAATAAGAATTGTTTAGAATAATTTCGAAATAATTCGGATATTATTTTAGCCGTTCTATTCCCAAGTACACATGCAGCGATAACATATTAACATCATAGGCTTCATCATCCTACTTTTCCTCTGAAGACAGTATACTTGTCTCCGCTCTACTGCTGGTGCTTTCCATTTTGTCTCGCCTACAATTTATGTTAAACTCTGCCCAAGTAGCTAGCTTGAGGTTAGACAATTATCTTTGTTGCTGACAAGTAATACAGGCTGAGTATTGCCCAATACAGGCTGAGCATCCCTTCTCTGAAATGCTTGGTCCAGAAATGTTTTGGTTTTCTGATTTTTCAGATTTTTAAGTATTTGCATTTAGATAGTGAGATATTTTTTGCTTTTTAAGTCTCTTCCATTGTATTTTGGAGATAGAATCCAAGTTGCAAAATATATTTATAATGTCAGGGGCAGACCAAACAATTGCATTTCATTTTTTTAACAAACAAACAAACAGACAGACAAAACACAAAGTTTGCAAGCTTGGTAGTTGATTAAATGTCTTTGACCAGTAGCTGGCCACTTGGAGTGCCTCTGGTGTTGCTGCAAGAAGGTCCTCCATTGTGCAAGTGGCAGGAGTAAAGGTAAAGGTTTTCCCCTGACATTAAGTCCAGTCATGTCCGACTCTGGGGGTTGGTGCTCATCTCCATTTCTAAGCCGAAGAGCTGGCATTGTCCGTAGACACCTCCAAGGTCACATGGCCGGCATGACTGCATGAAGCGTGTTACCTTCCCACCAGAGCGGTACCTATTGATCTACTCACATCTCTGTATGTATTTGAACTGCTTGGTTGGCAGAAGCTGGGGCTGACAGCGGGAGCTCACGCCGCTCCTTGGATTCAAACTGGTGACCTTTCAGTCAACAAGTTCAGCAGCTCAGCGGTTTAACCCACTGCGCCACCGGGGGCTCCCAGTGCTTCATATACACCTTACATATAGTGTCTGACAGTAACATAATCTATATAAATAAAAATGTAGTGTTCGTTTGTGGGATTAACATAACTCAGAAACCACTGGGTGAATTAACACCAAATTTGGACACAATACACCTATCAGGCCATTGAGTGACCATCACTCATAAAAACACTGAAAAATGCAATGGAAGAGACTTAAAAAGCCAACCCCCCCCCAAAAAAATGCATTACAACACATACAGAAAACCACATATACAAACAAATCAAACATATATACAAATACACACACATATATACACACACAAAACACATATACACGGACTGGGCCACAGCAACGCATGGGAGGAGACAGCTAGTATATAATATACTTAATAAGTTGGCATGTGTAACAAAGTTATGTATACTGAACATCAGAAAACATGTAGCCAATTTTGGAGCATTTTGGATTTCCAGATATGGGATATTTGCCTTATTTTAACATATTTTGCCAAGAACCAAACTGATGCAATACCTTTCCCCAGGGCAGCAAGTTTCCAATATATGATGCTCTACTTATGAAACGATATAGGCTCCTATGCTATGAGTTTCTACTGAACATACAGATTTACTTTTAGGGATTCACAGGTTTGCAACCGCCTTTCCACTAATTGGTTCTCTAGTGGTAAAAGTATTTTGAGGTCTCTTTTAATTAAAACTAGGGAAGCAGATAGCTGACCCCATTGGTCTCCGAGTCCCAGGGCTCTTGATAGACATAATATCCCATCTGTGACATGTTTAGTTATGATACCGGTAAAGAGAAAGAGACAACAAAAAAATAGGCACATGTTTATGTCAAATGTACAAAGACATGTTATCAAAGAAACGCGGTAGTTATAGCAGAAGGTCAAGAGTGACCAGAAATAGGAGAAAATATAACTGAGAAGAAGCTGGGAAGCAGGAACCTAATTAGAGAGATTCAGCCAGTTGTCAGCAACCTCTGTGTGTATGCCTTCAAGTCACCTGTTGACTTATGGTGACCCCATGGATTATATTAAGTTTTCTGAGTCAAGGAATACTCAGAGGTGGCTTATTATTGCCTTCCTCTGAGATACAGCCCACAGCACCTTCTTGGTCCTCCTTTCAAGTACTAACCAGACTTGACCTTCCTTACTTTCCAAGACTTCAGGTTGTTTAGCATGGAGCACCTATTAGACATAGTATTTATGTGCAGGTGACTTTTCCCCTTAAGCTCTGTCCTCCACACCCCACAACATGCCATTGAAAAGCACTCAGCTACACAGTGTTTGACTGCACTGCTGCGGTGTTCTAAACCCAACAGACAGTACTCAAGCAAAACTTGAGCCTGCCATTTAAGGTGGCACTATTAGCATTCCTGCACCTTAAACACTCAAGATTGGACCAAGCAGGAGTCATATCAAAAGATAGCCACAGGTCTGGTGTCCATCATTTCTGCCACATTTAAAGGCAATTGCAAGCATAAGGCACCACCAAATGCAATTTTACTAAGGAAACTTGCATGCAACAGAGAGTAGCAGACAAGAGACGGCTTTTCATTCAGTCTTTTCTGTACGATAAACCTGTTCATCACCTGTTCACTGCAGAGAAAGTGAATAATGCACAATATCAGTGACTTAGAAAGTTGTTCTAAGTCATTATTCCTGCAGAACAGTAGGTATAATATTGAATGTGTGTGTGTGTATATAATTCAAAGCCCTAAATGGTTCTGCCTCAGCTTACTTGTCTGAATGTATCTCCCTCTATTCGACTCACCTCAGAGGTTAAGATCGTCAGGGGAGGCCTTGCTCTCAGTCCCACCCCCTTTGCAAGCGCAGCTGGTGGGGACAAGACAGGGTCTTCTCAGTGGTGGCCCCTCGCCTATGGGACTCCCTTCCCAGTGAAATTACATCTGCCCCATTCCTCCTGACCTTCAGGAACAAACTGAAAACATTGCTCTGAGATCAGACTTTCCACCAGTAACGGGAGTAGTGCAATATGAGACTAAAAATTAATATAATGACAACTCGGACCAGCCCTGGAATACTACTTGGATCATGAGATTTTAATTTGTTATAATACTATGCTTTTAATTAGTTTGGTTTTAATATTTTTGTTTATTTACGGATGTATTCATGTAGTAATATACAGTGCAACCTCACTTATCATGGGTGCTACATTCCAGAACTACCCACGATAAGTAAAAATCCGTGAAGTAGGGGCAAGCCCTCCTCCCTTTCTCCCTCCTCCTTCCCCGCTTGCACGGGGAAGGAAGAAACAGAAGCAAGCCCTCCTCCTTCTCCTCTTCCCCGCGAAACAGAGTCCGTGAAAAGTGAACCGCAAAGTAGTGAGAGAACACTGTATGACATTGAATTGTTACCTTTGTAGCCTGTGAGCTAGAATATGTTCAAGAACCCTCTACAACAGGCATGAGCAAACTTCGACACTCCAGGTGTTTTGGACTTCATCTCCCAGAAATCCCAGCCAGCTTACCTGCTGTTAGGAATTGTAGGAGCTGGAGGGCCGAAGTTTGTCCATGCCTGCTCTACAATGTAGATTTCCACATGTGTTTCTGCAGCAGAAATATCATCACATCCTCCAGTTCAGGCTATGAGTGCCACTGCATATACTAACCAAAATACTAGGAAGGGAAGTGGAAGACCAAGAGGGGAAGACAAAAACTTAATAACATCCCCCCCCCCCAAAAAAAAAGTTTCTTCCAGCAATTTTTACCCTAGCCTTCTATTCATCAAGGCCACACATCATGCAAGGCTGGGGTAAAAACTGCTGGAAGAAACATTAACAACCTTAGATATGCAGATGATACCACTTTGATGGCCAAAAGCGAAGAGGAGCTGAGGAGCCTTCTAATCAAGGTGAAAGAAAAAAGTACAAAAGCTGGGTTGCAGCTAAACATCAAAAAACCAAGATTATGGCAACAAGAATGATTGATAACTGGCAAATAAAGGGAGTAAATGTGGAGGCAGTGACAGACTTTGTATTTCTAGGTGCAAAGATTACTGCAGACACAGACTGCAGCCAGGAAATTAGAAGACACTTAATTCTTGGAAGGAGAGCAATGACCAATCTCGATAAAATACTGAAGAGTAGAGACATTACACTGGCAACGAAGATCCACATAGTCAAAGCAATCCACCTAGTCAAAGCAATGGTATTCCCCGTAGTAACCTATGGATGTGAGAGCTGGACCATAGGGAAGACTGAGCAAAGGAAGATAGATGTTCTTGTGGGTTTTTTTGGGCTATATGGCCATGTTCTAGAGGCATTTCTCCTGACGTTTCGCATGCATCTATGGCAAGCTTCCTCAGGAAGATAGATGCTCTTGAACTGTGGTGTTGGAGGAAAGTTCTGAGAGTGCCTTGGACCGCCAGAAGATCCAACTAGTCCATACTTCAGGAAATACAGCCCAACTGCTCACTGGAGTGAAGGATATGAAAGGCAAAGATGAAGTATTTTGGCCACATAATGAGAAGACAGGAAAAGCTTAGAGAAGACAATTATGCTGGGCAAAATGGAAGGAATAAGGAAGAGGGGCCGACCAAGGGCAAGATGGATGTTATCCTTGAAGTGACTGGCTTAACCTTGAAGGAGCTGGGGGTGGTGACAGCCAACAGGGAGCTCTGGCGTGGGCTGGTCCATGAGGTCACGAAGAGTCGGAAGCGACTGAACGAATGAACAACAACAACCCGCAAAAACCCCAAAAGAAACAAAACAAAATTTTAAAAAGTTTCGAACATCTTATTGAAGTGAGAATATATTCAATAAGGATAGAAAGTTGACACTGTTCAGGAAGTATAGAAAGTTAAGGGAGGAAAGAGAATAGATGGAGCCTGAATACTACTAAAACTTTTTGGCGAAGGTCTCACTATTATCTTTCTTGTCACAGATGTGTGGGGCAAAGCAGTCACATTAATGGCTTGCCCTAGACCACTCAGTGAATACATGGCAGTGTTGACATTTGAACTCATTAAGGTCCTGGCTCACAGCTCATGCCCTTTACTATGCAAGGCCAGCACTTTTAT